GAACCCGTGCATTGTGGTTTTGGGGGGGGGGGGGGGGGGGGGGGGCTCCACTGTAAGGGTAGTTTTCTTTTTAATTCCCAGAGTTCAGCTTTAAGCATTGCCTTGTGCAACACAAATGATAAGTGCCCTACAAAATGCTTCATTAGTCTCCCGGCTGTAGTTTTCTTAGCCTTTCTTTGCGTTTATCTATGGAAACAAATATAAGTTGTCCCCTGACAAATGTTTCATTGACAGAACCCTTTCCTTCCTTTCATTTGGTATTGCAGTTGACTGACAGCTACGCCAACCAGTCACAGAACAATAAGCAGAACAGGTTTGCAGCTTCACTATAGAGCTGAGTTTCTAGAAGCATCCTCACCTGTCTCAAGAGATAACTGAATAGAGAAAAGGAGTTTGCAGTTGGTTCGAGACAACCTTTAATTATTTCTTGCTCTGTTCTGTTATTTAACAAAAGTTAATTGTTAACTGTGAATGGCAAAGATTAATCTGTAATGTACTGAGCTACGCATACACATGTTACTGTGTAATGTGATACACACCCATCACAAGGGAGGTTGAAGGTGACCTCCGTGTCAGAAAGAATGGTTGCATTAAACTCTGTAGTAGAATGTAGTGCTCATGTGTCTCCATTGGACGATTTCTCCTTTCTGTACCAGTGACAGCTATAACATTTTGGTTGAGAGTGATCACCGTGTCAAATATAGGGTGTGAATCTCCCATTGGGAATACAGACAGCAATAAAAAACAACAGAGGTTTTGAAACTTCCACATTGCACTGCACTGCCTCTGTTGCTGAAATCCTCCCACTGTGAGCTGCAGTGTCTGGGAGGGGGAGCATGTGAGACATAAATGATGGAGGATTTGTCTCAGTAAGGGAAGGTTAAAAGGAAGTTTTTGGTTTAATTTATGAGGCTGGTACATAATATAGTAACTAGATTTGGCATACCTCCCAACTGTCCCTAATTTGGAACAAAATGTCTCTGTCCCTTTTTCCTCCTCGGTTATCCCCAATTTTGGTCTGATGTACGGATACTGTATCTTGAAAAAGATTCTTCTATTTACATACCAAAAGTGTTCTTCTGCAAAAAATATTATCTTAACTCCTAATTTTCATGATTGCTATTTCGAAAAGCCAATATAAAGGGAAAGTAATGGTGAATTAAAAAACTATTCTGGGTTTAACCAATCATTTTTGTCATATACATTCTTAATTGTCACCATAACTGGGTATGTACATTGCCTTAATACATTGTGCTGGAGGGTGTCCCTCTTTCTCATCTACACAAAGTTGGGAGGTATGTCTTTGGAACTTGTTTAGACTGTTATTTAGGAGCCTGTCATTACATATCAGTGTAGTGTGTTATCCTAGCCAACTTCCTGGCAAATAGCTCCAATATCTGATATTAATATACATGGCATTTCAGTGCAGTGTGCCATCCTAGCCACCCTTCTTGGCTCCTTCCTCCAATATCTGATATTAACATTGATTACATAACATATCACTGCACTGTGCCATCCTAGCCACCCTTACTCGCTTCTTGCCCCAATATCTGATATTAGCATACACTCAAAACTGCAGCAGACAAAATCAAGAGCAGTTGCCAATGGCAACCGGTCAGCTTCTCTCTTCAGTTTGTTCAGTTAGGATTTGAAAATGAAAGGTGAATGCTGATTGGTTGCCATTCACAGCTGCTTCAGATTTTGTCTGCTCCAGTTTTGATGAATTCCTATCATTATATATCAGTGCACTGTGCCACCCTAGCCAACCTTCCTGGCTCCATCCTCCAAAACCTGATATTAACATATCGGATATTTACATAAATTGCATAGTAGTGTAGTGTGCCATCCTTTCTGGTTCCTTCCTTCAGTATCTGAGATTAGCAGACATCAGATACTTGTGTACTGTTCCATCTCAGTTACCCTTCCTGGCTCCTTCCTCCAAAATCTAAAATTAATATACATTATGCCAGTGTAGTGTGGCATCTTAGACACCCTTCCTGGCTCCTTCCTCCAATACCTGATGTTAACACACATGTCATGCCAATGCAGTCTACCATACTAAGCAAAGTTCCTATCTCCTCCTCCCCAATACCATCTTGCTTATTGTTCATCAGGTCATGTAATGATGCCACCCTTTTCCATCCTTGCTGGATTATCTGGAGAATTCAGGTGGGAATTTTGGCATGATCTCACTCAGCCTTGTCCTGAAGAACTAAGTACTGGGAGAAGGAGGTGAGATTTGTAGGAAACCCTCCTTTCTTGAGTCACTGAGAGATATATGACAGCAGGTATTTCAAATGGCCAACATCTGTTGGAAACAAATTGAGGGAAATTCACCGTTCATGGCATATATCCTTCTCAGATACAGCTTCTGTAGAATAGCTTGTAAGGTGACAGCTCTAGTTTTCCTGGCCCGGTTGCTTTATCCGTTCTTTCTATTATTGCTCCCATAGTAACATAGTTCTAAAGATCACAGTCTAATTGCTGGGAACATTTATGGCTGCTGCCAGTGCAAAGTTCACCAGGAAAACTAGCTACAAATATTAAATCCGGATGTGGATCTTTACTCGCCAGCAGCAGTCCTAACCAACAGGTGTGAAGAAAAGACCAGAAACTAATAGCGGGAATACCTAAAAAATGCCCAGCAAACAGAAGACATTGTTGTTCTTCGCTGGCTTTGTATCGAGCATCGGATCATTTGCAGCCATCTGTACATGCCTAGGGACTCAGCAATGGGTTTCCAGCAGGGTCCAGTTTTTGGGAGGGAATTACACAGGAGAAGCGCATGTAAACCTTGGACTGTTTGTTGTCGATAGCAGGAAGACTATCACAAGTGGAGTGGCATTGGACACCCAAAAGATCTCCAAACAAGGTACAGTGTGTCTTATGATTGCAGTATGGCAAAGTGGGGTGGAATAAATAATTTTGTCATGTTGAACACATTTCCCATGATGCTCAGCTGGTGTTCACAGTCCACCCATGTTCAGTCCCCACCCTCAAAATGCGGGGATGGTGATTTACACACCTCTTGTTTGCCAACTCCGAACCCTAAGGTGCCTTTCACAAGGGCCTTCCGTCAGTCCGTTTTTGACCTGTGATGAGACATATCAAAAATGGACTGCAATGTGCAGTGTGTATAAGAAACCAAATGTATGTGGATGTGTGTCCGTTTACATCTGGGCCCATTCAGGTTCCGCCAGACCATACATAGTATGTTTACTTACAGCTCCACTGTTGCAAACCTGACCAGATATGAGCTGCAGATGGACATCTGGCAGCCCATAGGGATTATATTGGTTCATTTTTCCTCCTTCACAAAATGGAGGAAAAATCAAAATGGACATGGATGTCACGTGTGTCTGTTCTGATCTCACTCAGTAGGGGATCTGTTTATGGATCCCATGCCAAGATGGAATGGAGGCGCCAGTGTGAAAGGGGCCTTCTAAAGGTGTAAGATAGCATTTTTATTACTGTTCACCCCGAAAACAGGGCGGTGGCTCCCAGTGCTAAGGTTCCAGTACAGTGTCATTAGGCTGTGACAAATCAGAGCAGACTATTCCGGTGCAGGAGGCTTTTCAATTCCTAATAGAGTTACAATATAAACAATGCTGAATGCAAAACAAAATTGTTGTGTGCTGTCATGCACATAAGTATTAATGCAATTTCCATTGTGTGTGGGCGCAGCAGGTCAATTGACACTCCTGACTCTTGTATCTCTTATAGGCTTTTCTGGTGAGGTTCTCTTGCAGAAGTTCTTGTTTCCACCTCCTCCCACAAGGCTGTAACAATGACATCACTTACATGTAGCTGGGTTGTGGGTGGAAAAATGTACAAACATACATACAAGAGGGCTAACCACTTCCATACTTTCCATATACAGTAGATTACTTGCAGTACATTACATATTATTTCAGGTATTCCTACTAAAAAACCTCATCCCTCCCTCCAGTGTTTCTAATGTAAGGTGTATCTGGTCAATGCTTGTTCACTCTTTGCTACTTTCTCATTTCAGTGTTTGACCTATTAAAGGAAACGAACAGTGTGAAGATCGCCCACATTATCGTCATATTATTCCTGGTGCTCGGTCTTGCTTGCTGTTTTATGGGATCAGTGACTACTTGCTTGAATAGTGTCAGCAATCCTTACATCACTTTTTTAGGCCCTTTGGGCGTCTATGTGTGGTCCTCTATCAATGGTAAGTGAATGGTAAGATATGACATCCTAAAGGTGGGAATGAGGCCCTGATAATCAACAATGTTCTTCAGGGGAGAGGCTTAGAGGGAGGTTTACCTCCAGGAATCCCCAATGGTAACAGGTTAGCACATGAATCCTTTGAGAATTACAATACAAATGACCCACATGAAAAACCTGCTTGACTGACATTTCAATTGTTATCTTTCATTATCACTTTCAAGTGTCTGTTGCACATTGTTCTATCTTCATAATCCACTCAATCAGCTGTTTGTTCTCTTTTCCCCTACACGTGCAGGCTAAGCAGATTGAATAGAGCCTGGGCAGATATGCAAAGTTTGACTTTCTGTCAAAAGTCAGCAGCTATGCCCTCCTCTCCATCTCTGACCACTCCCCATGGATGCTGACATAAGCAGACAGCAATGACGGTCACAGGAACGACAGGGGTGTGTTTCACAGTCTGGCTTCACCTTCTCTATGTTGTCCAAGAGGCAAGATGGTGGCAATCAACAAGCTCTCTGGGGACAGACAAGAGAACTTTCTGTTCACTTATTTTTCACCAACGGAAAGGGCTACTTTAATTTCATAGTTTGATATTGAACATTATCTGGGGTTTCCACCATTTCAAACAAGGGCCCTGATTTGCTAAAAAAATATATATATAAAAGTAACCATACTTGACCCAATAGCAGAAAGTGATCTGACCAATTCAGTCAGATGATTATCATACAGTTTTCCCCTCTCCAACAATACAAGGGAGTAACACAGACGTCTCACCACTCATGGCTAATGACAAGGCATCTACATATATGTGGAAGTTTAAAGTCTCACCCTTATAGTCATGTACCCCACAAATTATATTTGTGACTCATTTTTGCTTGAAAATCCCTTACAATACACCTTATTCTTAGCGAAAATGCTGGAGTCAGTGACTGGGGCATTGTTCTGATCACTGGTGGATTAGAAAAATGTCCATGGTTGTGGATTCTCATGGGCAATTTAGATGAGTCAGTATTCTAACTGGGCACAATAGTTTCCGTGACAGGCTACATGCAGGTGAAGGCAGGCAGGCACACGGGAAGTAGGTGTTACATCACCCATTCGGCCACAACATATATCAAAGCACACATAGTCACAGTCCTCCTTTTGAATAACCTTCATATACACGATACATTAAAAACAGCAAAAGCAAATGATGAACAGGCTTTCTGTTGTTGGTTGGAGCAGATGGGTGAGATCAGGTGCCGAGATCTCACCATTGAATTTCGTTCAAAGATGTTATGGAACTGGAAAGAGTGCCAAGAAGGGCAACTACAATTGCAAAAGGCATGGAGGACCTTACTTCTGAGGAAAGATAAACTGAACTGAATTTAGTCTCCCCTAAAAAAGAACAATTTAAGGAAGAAAATTATCACCTAATATAAATAAATGGGCCATTCCATGACAAATCATTGGGGAGTTGTCACCATAAAGAGGGCACTCTTAGTAAGAGGAGGAAAAGAGATTTAGCGTCAATCCATGGTTCCCAGTTGGCCCTCATTTAGAGGGACTGTCCCACTTTTGGACCCAAAGCACTCTGTCCCCCTGTTTCCCCAGATGTCCCTCTTTTTGGTCCGATGTATAAATCTCCATAAAAATACACCGATCAGCCATAACATGATGACCACCCACTAATATTGAATAGGTCCCTCTTTTGCCACCAAAACAGCCCTGAACCATCAAGGCATGGTCTCCATTAGACCTCTGAAGGTATGCTGGGGTATCTGGCACCAAGCCATCAGTAGCAGATCCTTCCAGTCCTGTAAAATGCGAGGTGGGACTTGTTTTTCTAGCACATCCCACAGATGATCGACTGGTATGAGATCTGGAGAATTGGGAGGCTAAGTCAACAGCTCAAACTCGTTGTTGTGTTCCTCAAAATGTTCTTAAACTATTTTTGCAGTGTGGCAGGACACATTATCCTGCTGAAAGAGGCCACTGCCATCAGGGGATACCGTTTCCATTGGGGTTGACTTGGTCAGCAACAATGTTTAGGTAGATGATAAGTGTCAAAGTAACATCTACATGAATGACAGGAAACCCAAGGTTTCTCCAGCAGAGCATTGCCCAAATCATCACGCTGCCTCCACCTCAATTCACCTTTCAGTCATCATAATGCTATGGCTGATCACTTTATATTATTTCAGAAGTGTTTTACTGTACTAAATAGTGTCATCCAACCTCTAAATGTTAGGGCTGATATTTTGAAATCTAGTGGTGAAAAAAAAACAACTTATGGGTTTCACCAATTTTTTGCATAGCTGGGGGAATGGCATGGGTGTGTCATGGCATGCGATGGCTTACATACTCTGTGCTACAATGTGTCCCTCTTGCCCATCTCAGAAAATTGGGAGGCACATGTATGCCAACGTACAGAAAGGATTCTTTACAGGAAGAGTCTTGAAAATGTGAAATAGAATTCCACAGGAGTTAAGGATGTTCCAGCCGACTCAACAGATTGTTTAAAAAAAAGGCCTGGGTGTGTTTTTAAATGCACAATAATGTCTTTTAAATGTAAGTAAAATATCCTTGTGGAATGTAGATCTAAGGCATATTCAATAGGGGTCAGGATGCATCCAGACTATATAAATATATAAGAAGCCAAGGTATAAGTCTGCTCTCTGCCTCCACATATCATTGAAATTCTCCATCAGTGAACTCAGGCTTTAAATGCACTTCCATTTGTCGTAATGATCTCATCTGCTTCAGTCATGTGTGTTCCAAGGGTGTGTACCCAGCATCAGCGCTGCTCTCATGTGATGTTATCAATAAAGATATAAATATTTTTCCATGTATCATGCAATAGGCTTGTTTATGACAATCCAATAAGTGAGAGCATATATATTTTTACAAGAAATTGTAATGTACGTGTAATACTAACATCAAATACAGGGGGGATTCACTTCAATCAGATGTCTTATCTGAGCAAATTAGCGATACAGAGGTTTATCAACAGATAATAGCACCTATAGCAAGCACTGACATTGCACCCCTTTCCAAAAACTGACACATATATTTTGGATAAATGTACCATAACATCAACTAAAAAAAAAAAAAAAACTTGCATCAAGTCCCACCTTACATCTTATATAACCCCTTATATAACTATCTCCAGCGTTCCCCTTTACATCAGAGTCTCCAGAGACCCCCTTATATCACTATCTCCAGCGTTCTCCCTTACATCAGGGTCCTCAGAGCCACCCTTACATTACCATCTCCAGCGTTCCCCCTTACATCAGAGTCCCCAGAGCCCCCCTTATATCACTATCTCCAGCGTTCCCCCTTACATCAGGGTCCCCAGAGCTCCAGATTTCCTCCTTACATCAGCCCAGCGTGCATTGTGATGGAAGCAGGCATAGCTAGAGATGGATTGTAGTTCTGGGTGGGCCAGTGACAAGTAAAGGAGATGCAAATGTACATGGAAGCTTGTAGGTGAAAGAGGCGGAGGTGGCTTGGCTGGTTTTAGACTGCATAACCATTAAAGTAGCAGTAGGCATCATACATTTCAACCTAAACTGGGTGTCACCTTTAGCACCTATGCTATCCTAAATCATTACCTATGTGGCTTGGTGAGAAATCTGGCACTGGTAGCACTGGAAGCCAATTAGATGAGCTGCATGCAAATGAGCTGAAAAAGAACACTCTGATAAGAGTAAAGAGCAGAGTGAACAGAGATATGACCTCATCGGTCAGCCTTGGGTTGGGAGATGACACTACTGTATTCTTAACTGTAACATATAAAGTGGAGCTTTATAATTCTGAGCACTATATGGAGAGGAATACAAATCATTATTTAGTAAAAAAATTATTTTCACCTTTCTCCTAGCAATCTTTGTACTGCTTGCCATGATTGTGTTTGCGGTAAACATAGAGGCTAATAACATGCCAAAGAATTTGGCTAAAGCAATGGACATCACAAACGATGTATATGGGACTAGTACGAATACATACGGATACTCATACTATCTCCTGATCCTTAGTATTTGCCTGAACCTGGCCACCACAGGGATTATCTACTATTACCAACATATCAGATACAGCAAGCAGAAAGAACAGGAGAGACCCATGGAAATCGCCAGCAAAGATTCCATCTTATTTTAAGACTGGGACCCCACACCATGCAAGATTCTGCTTATTATGCCGTTACCACCAACTGGTCACAATACACCAGCAGGACCTTCTGGGAAAAATGCTGCTTCAGTGCTCATTGAATACTCCGATAACACCATCGTTATTAAATGGCTGGAAATGAAGAGGCTTCATTGCTAAACAGACTTATGGTGCCTCTGTGCACTCATGTATAATAAACTATCATTTTCATAGGTATAGTCTACAAATTGTGTAATATTCTAAGCGATGTTGAGTGGACAAGACAGGGTGGTATAGATTGTAGGAGTGCAGTAACAGTTACAAGGAAGTAATGCAAAGCACATTTTGGGGTACATTCATAAAAGGAGGCTAAACGAGGTTAAAGTGGAACTATGGGGTTGACTTTTTTAAAGGCAAATACGCTGTTCACTTTGCAAGGGAATTTTCCCTTATCTTGAATGAGGCGGAAGCTCTGCTTACTTCCATTACTTAATCATGTGCAAACAAAAAACATTTTTTTCCTTGTATAGGAATGCAAAGTGAACAGTCTATTTGCCTCTTGTAAATCAGCCCATATGGCATGGCAGTCCCTCCTTCTACATCATTTTATTACCTGTTTTTTCATGACCAGTAGTAGTTTTTTTCCACCTGCTGTAACAGGCCAAGCTGTCCAGCAAAAGTGACGGTTACAAGGGCTGGGCCAACCATATATCACTGATGGGGATGCTTAAAATGGCTAACTTTTATTCCTATGGCTAAGGCAGGGTTGGGCAACTTTGGCTCTCCATCTGTTGTGGAACTACAAGTCCCATGAGGCATTGCAAGGCTAACAGAGACAGGCATGACTCCCAGAGGCATATTGGCATGTGTAGTTAAAGCACAGCTGGGCAGCCGGCATTGCCCACCCCTAGGCTAACGGCTTGTGTTGATGGCATCAGTTTGACCTCAGTTTAAGACACTTCTGAGATCATTCAGAATTCATTGACAGATGCATTTGACCTGCCGTTGACCTTCTTCTGACCTGCTTTTGACCTATATCAAGCAGGTTTTGCATTCCCAAAGCATTCCCTAATCCTTTTTTCTATAGAAAAAACCCCGTTGCTGTAAGGCTTCAAAAGTGTTAGCTGGAGGGGGGCTTCAATTTGTTCATCGCATACCTAAAGGCCCCTCTGTGTAGTGTGGTTCTAACTTTAATATATGAGAACCTCCATATTGGAACATATAAAGCAAGAGATAAATTGAATACAGGTACACCTGGAGGTATATCTCTTAGCCCAGTCCTCTTTAAAGGCATAGGGATGCACTGGGGGCCGAGTGCAAAAATGTAAGCTGAAGCTCCCAGTGCATCCCCACACCAAATACAGCCAAGCTAAATAGAAACTGCCTGTTGCAAGCCCTTCCATGTGCACCTTGGTTTAAAGGCTAGTTAAAAATATGATTTGTGGTTGCCGTTTTTGTTTTGAAAAGTGTTGTCACCGTTTTACAGGAAGTGGAAAATATTGGATCTACTGGAAGGATCAACAGGTATGAAAACATTTTTGCAGAGCACAGATACATCTTTATTGAATATAGAGTTGAGCAAGCAGTGTAGAAAAAGCCAACGCATTTCAGGAGCTTACACAAATACCCCCTTCTTTAGGGCTTACTAAAGTAGAACATGTGTCAGGACTGTAACTGCTTCAAATTGGATACTGTTTTGTCCAGTGTATGAGAATGCACAGAGCTCTTCAGCAGCTGGTTTGGCAGTCAAGTCAGCTGAATATCAAATAAAGATGCAACTAGATTATGCAATGGAGTGTGGTGCTTCAATGCACAATCCTGCAATCCTGTTTGACACCACAAACCAAGAAGACAGTGGAGATCCTCTGGAATGTAGAATCTGTCTGCCTGGTAGTCTGATAATCTATATTGACTCTTTCACATCCTTAAGCTGGGTACACTGTTGAATCCACTGGCTGAACGAAAAAAAAATTGAATAGATTCTTCCCTCAACATTTAGGAGCATTGATGGAAGACTAAAATTCTCAGTTAAGAATTTTCCAACCTGCTTCGAGCAGCTGACCAAGGTATGCTGGGTAGAAGGGTGCCAACAGCGGCACCCATGCAGTGAATTTCGACTGGTTCATCAAGAACTGGCCGGAATTCAAAGTGTGCATAGCCTACTAAAGTGGCCAGCCACACCAACAGGACAAACCTTGCTGGTCCACCGCTTTTATTCCACTTCTTCCCAGACTGCATAATATATAATTTTTTATTTTGTCCATGGTACCAGTTTGAAGAACAACTAAACCCTAAACCTAAACTGTTACAGATTGTCTTTAGCTGGGGTGTTTCTTTTTCCTTTTTAGTTCCTCAAGGCTTCCATTTTTGGTTTTAGATGTCCATCGCCATGCCCAGTCCAACATGTTCACCTTGGCCATCAACTCTTTGATGACATCAGTGTTCCCAATATTCCTTTTGCTTCCCGCAGATTACAAGCTGCAAAGCTGGCCATAAGCGTAATAAAAATCTGCGCTTCTGGATTTAAATCACCCAAAAAGTTTGAAAGCTGCTATACAAAGACCCCAATAACTAATGTCCAACTGCACAGCGCTAAAAAACTTGCATTGGGAATAGCATAAATAATCAATACAAAATGTAGCAAAATTAATAAATAAGTAGTGAGACTGTTGTAATAAAATACCAAATAGAGAGATAATGGGGGTGATTTACTAACCTAAACGCACGCACCAGGTGCGTGTGCATTTTTACACAGCAAAACTTATTTATCAACCAAACACGAGCAACGTGTCACATTTTCACGCCGTTATGGTGCGTTTTTATGTATTTACGTACGTGCGCGTCATGTAGCATGCGCCATAGGCTACACACCGCTCTAATAGCGACATGCAAGTCTCTAAAAGCATATTTCCACTAATGCCATATATGGAAAAATCATGCACATGATGCATATATAATGCAGCTTCACAGTTTAGACAAAAATGGTTAGCCCATGCATTTACATTCCTGCATTCATCAACGCAAGCAACACAACGTAGAGCTAATTTACATAACATCACCTTGCAATTCATGCTTGGCTTTGCACAACACACCTGCTGGGTGTGTACACACTACAAAGGTGTCTAGATTCCACCAATAGATCATGCTAGGAGGGAACACACTACAGAGGTGTATACTTGTTCGTGGCGTGTTTATAAGGTTAGTAAATCAACCCCAATGTGTCAAAATATCAATTAATATAAAGTGCCAAATCAATCAATACATATAAGACTGATCGTATAAATGGAATAAAAATGTAACATAAAGCAACCAGACGCTACATGTTGGTTTTGGAGGACGGAGTTACATGTCAGTGCCGGCCGGTTGTAATTTAAAGTCTGCTATATTTTTTAATAAATTATTGTTTGGATGCTGCACCATGGAGGTTTCTTCATTTTGTCTTTGATATGGCTGAACATTTAAAACGAGCGCATATGAGAAGGAAGCACGAGGAAGGAGGACATTGAAAGCTGTCTCTGATTCGTATTCCGCTTGGTTGGCTGTTATTTGACAGTCAGGAATTGTGGTCAGTGCATA